AAGAATGGCTTCTCCCCTGGTAGGGGTTTTAACAAACCGGGTAAAAAAGCAATCCTGTACCAATTCCACCATTTCAAATTCATTTACAGTAGAGCCAGAGACTGTCCAACTGTATCCCAGGTAAATTAAAATCTCCCTTAACTACCACATAATTTTTTATTACTCATAATCCTGATATCGACGTATAACATTCTGCTTTCCTCTACATTAGGTGCTTTATAACAAACACCAACAATTAGGGCATTAATTTCCTTATCTCAGCTAACTTAGCTGTGCTCGTGTGTGGCACGGGAAGTATTCCAGAGAATATCTCCATGGACGTTCTACTTCTAAGCTGATCTGTGACCTCTATAAATTTTTCCTGCAGAACAGCTCTCCTATACCTTTGCCTATGCCATTGGTGCCAACATGTAGCACAACCACTGGATCCACCCTGGCTGGGGCCAAAAGCCTGTGCACATGATCCGTAAGGTCTCCTACCTGGGCACCAGGCATGCAAAACACTGTATGGGACCCTCTATCACGGGTGAACACATAACTGTCTACACCTCTAATAATTGAATCCCCTACTACCACAACCTCCCTCCTCCTCGGGGGAGGGGGCTCCTCGGTGCCCAAGGGTACACCTGCCTCCCCAGTCTCCTCTGGCTCTAAAGCTGGAAGTACCTGAAAAGTGTCTATGCCGTTTCTTACGCCTCTGAACTACGGTCATCCAACTGTCTCAACCACTCTGTTCTTCATTCTCCACTCTCCCCGCTTGTGCAAGACACACTATCTCCCTAAAATGAGCGTTACCTATCTCTTCTAATTCTGTGTTGTGTCGGATGAGAGCCAGTTGCTCCTCGAGGTCACAAACCTTGACCATGAGTGAGTCCACCAGCTGACATCGCTCGCAGATTAAGTCCCAGCCCATTATATTTATACAGAGTATTTATCTTTTAGTTAATTTGAATACAATAAAGTGCCGAGTACAATAAAATAAGTACATTATGACGTTAAAACGGAACTTTAATTATCCGATAGGGTCAAAGAGATTTTAAATTATTATTTTTTTTTAAATAACCAAATTAATTATTACTTACCAGAGAATAACTTCCTACGACGCGAAATCGCTCTTGGGAGACCGAAAAATCACA